GGTCTGAATTCTCAAAATTCTGTATTTCCTGGTCATGGCTTCTCCATGCAACTCTGTTATAAGATTGAAACGAAACTCTTCAGTTCTCAGCTGCATCATGTGTACTTTGATCATAGGATGGGTATAATGGAAAGGTCAATGTTGTTGACGGCTTGCGGACACAAAACCCCAAACAACCCCCTCCAGACTCTGCCTGTGGCCGTGTTGCTGAAATGCTGCATGTGCTCTGCTGCACAACTCCAGCCACATGGAACAGACCAGTAAAAGGGACCTTGTGATTTCTTCACAGCAGTTATTACTCTAAAGAACACCAATGCATCTGCACACCTCCACTAAATCCAATTTTTGAGTTGATGGAAACAGTAATAGAGACAAAAAGCTGACTGACAGGTGAATTTAAAGCTAGTGAGAAAAAAATATGATGTTAAAGGAAAATATCCACCTTAGTGCTGAGATCTTTAAAAAAACAATAGATCCAGAAAAGCAACATTAGCTTAAAATATATATCAGTATTGCCAGGCCATCATTTAAATCAGAATATAATTTAAATGTGTTTTTCTTTTACCTTTTCCAGGAAAATTTTACTAATTTAAATTGCATAGTCTGCAACATTTCTTCTATTGTTTTGCTTCTCATAAAAACAATATTAATTTGATTYGTTTCGGGCTAMAGTATTGCAGTGGTCAGTGGTGWAGTCTCGTAATCCTGAGACTGTAGGTAATAAACAAAAATTGTATTATTTTTTTCTATGCAGAATTTTACATAAATGATGTAAACCCAAGCAGTTTATTTCCTTTACATGTTCTATGATTAAGAGTTACTTGTAGAAACAAGTAGAGCAAAGAAAAACTGTCTTTGAACTCACGCATTACACAAGTGCAGAGACCATTTGTTATTTACTGTTTACTTCTCAGGAAGGACTTTGAAAACAGTTAAGAAGCATACATTGTCAGATCAAACAAACAAACAAACAAACAAACAAACAATCAAACAAAAGAACAAATGTGAAAAATGTTTCCAACCTGTGCATTTTTTTAATATTGTCAGATATACAACTTCAATCAGTGTAGCTACTAAAACAGTTCTATCATTATTATGTTTAGAGTAATATACTTACAGCTAATCATAGGAGAATTTATGCTTATCAGCTTTTYATGCTGCCAACAATATTTAGGATAACTGTGATTGGTGCACAGCCCAGAGGGATGTGTCACCTTGGATTATTTACAGTCTGTCAGATGATGTCAGTCCCATTATGCAGTCTCTGTCCACAAATGCAACACACCTCAACCTTGAAAGAAAAGAGGCCCTCTCCCTCCCTACTCCCTGCTTCAATAAAAAAAATACCCAATTTAACCCCTGCTGGCTGGTATTTATTTCACTAATAAATAGATTCTCAAGGCATTACTGCTGTGCACTCCATCCCCTGCTGGGCAGCTTATTCATTCTAATACATATCTGTAAAATATCTTACTCCTACCTATCAGAAGCTAAACCCTTATTTTTGCAGCTGCCACATGGCCACGATGTTGTGACTYAAACCTGTGTTCTCTCTTTCTATGAATGCCCTGCAGGAGCTGGGCTGAGCGTGGCCATGCATGCAGGTTTGGTGATAAACTGTGCTTCATGCTCTCTGAGATGTGMGTCATCTTAAATAAGTGTACGTGTGTGTGCATGCATGGTGGATGACAATGGTGAGTATTATTTTCAAGTAAATATTTATTTTATTTTTATTGTTTGGGATGAATTAGAGTTGGAAATGTAATTTCTTACAGGACACATTTGGGTGTGTGTTTATTCAGTCTTTTAACTAAAGATATTGTGGCGGCTGTGGTTTTGTGGTAGGACAGCCGTCTTGAGACTAGAAAAGTCACAGGTTTGACTTCTTGCCATGCCCACATGTCGTGGTGCTCTTGAGCAAGACTCCTATCCCCCAACTGCTCCCCCRGGCTACCCGCTGCTTCACKTGGGTGTTTCTCACATGTGATKGGTCAAATGCAGAGCACAAATTTAATCATGTCTGGACACATGTA